TTCGGGAACCCGTGCATTCTGGTCTCTCGCCAAGGCTGTCCAAGGGAATTTCTGTAAGCCATCACTACCATCTCTGCACAGGGAGGACGACTCACTGGCCCACGACGCAAAAGAGAAGGCCGACCTTTTAGGCTCCCTTTTTGCGTCCAACTCGACTGTTGATGACGGGGGGAACACACCGCCGACCATCCCGCGATGTGAGTGCTCTATGCCGGATGTGCTATTCTCACAGCGCTCGGTTCGCAGAGCACTCCTCTCCCTTGACATCCACAAGTCTAGTGGGCCTGACGGAATCCCCCCAATTGTGCTGAGGACGTGTGCTCCGGAGTTGGCACCGCTTCTAACGCGTCTTTTCCGGTACTCCTACTCCCATGGCGTTGTCCCGAACTCATGGAAGACAGCTTTTGTCCACCCGATCCCTAAAAAAGGCGACCGCTCAGACCCGTCCAACTATAGGCCTATCGCAATCACCTCCTTGTTCTCCAAAATAATGGAATCCATTATTAACTGCCAGCTCATCCGGTACCTTGAGGATCACCAGCTGATCAGTGACCGCCAATACGGTTTTCGTCGGGGTCGATCAGCTGGTGATCTTCTAGTCTACCTGACCCATAGATGGGCGGAGGCAGTAGAGTCCAAGGGGGAGGCGTTGGCCGTTAGTCTGGACATTGCGAAGGCCTTCGATCGGGTTTGGCACAAAGCGCTTCTTTCGAAGCTCCCTTCCTATGGGCTTCCCGAGAAATTGTGCAATTGGATCACCAGCTTCCTTGCAGATCGGAGCATCAAGGTCGTTGTAGACGGTGCATGTTCTGACTACAAGCCTATTAACGCTGGTGTTCCACAAGGCTGTGTGCTATCACCAACGCTGTTTCTTCTGCATATCAATGATATGTTGCTAACTGGTAACATTCATTGCTATGCGGATGACAGCACTGGTGATGCTCTATACACCGGCCGGGCCAATATTTCTCGGGAAAACGTCGCCGAGTACCGGAACAAACTTGTGTCTGAAGTCGAGTCTTTGCTGGACAAAGTCTCGGATTGGGGGCGACTAAATCTAGTCCAGTTTAATCCTCAGAAGACACAAGTTTGCGCGTTTACCGCTAAAAAGAACCCCTTTGTCGTATCTCCTCAGTTTCAAGGCACTCCCCTTCTTGCCTCAGCCAGTATCGGTATCCTCGGAGTCGACATATCGAGTGACGTGCAGTTTCGTGGTCACTTGGAAGAGAAGGCCAAATTGGCCTCTAAAAAGCTTGGCGTGCTCAGCAGAGCGGGACAGTATTTCATGCCGGCACACCACCTGCAACTTTACAAGGCGCAGGTTCGGCCTCACATGGAATACTGTTCCCATCTCTGGGCAGGGGCTCCCCAGTGCCAGCTCCTTCCACTTGACCGCATCCAGCGCAGAGCGGCTCGAATCGTCGACGACCGAGCCCTTTCCGATCGGCTCGATTCATTGGCACTGCGAAGAGATGTTGCATCTCTTTGCATTTTCTTTCGCATCTACCATGGGGAGTGCTCTGAGGAATTGTTCGGATTAATCCCAGCCGCCAAATTTCATGAACGCACATCGCGGCAGAACTCCCGATACCATCCACACCATCTGGATGATTGGCGGTCCACCACTGTGCGATTTAGAAGATGTTTTCTTCCTCGCACGACTTCCTTGTGGAATCGATTACCATCAGCGATTTTTCCGGACCGATATGACTTAGGGACCTTCAAGAAAAGAGCCTACTCCTTTTTAAAAGGCCGGCAACGCATCTGCAATTCCCCTGGTGTTGCGGTTGTTCATGGGCGGCGGTAGTCACTTACCATCAGGTGAGCCGCATGCTCGTTTGCCCCCTCTCCTATAATAAAAATAAAAAAAAAATGACCTAGAACTATTGATTCCGTTACTAAAGTAGAACTATATTTAAAAACTTAGGAATCGTATACATCACTCAAATTAGGCTTAGGAGACATCACTTGCGTAATTTATTTGTAAGTACAATTTTGCTCGGACTATCAAAAATTGAATTTGAACTGCATATTGATTCAGACAACGGTTTTGATACTTCCTGTTCACCACATTTTGTTGACTGAAAAAAAAAAGATACTAATTATTTGGGAAGCCTGTAAAACTTCTAGCGGTACAGTATTAAAAAAAAACTGCCATATACTAGTGTGACTCGCGTGACGAGGGTCACCTCTCTTAAGTCCCGTAAATATAATGAACATTACAAAAATTCGTTCGTCGTCTAATTAGAAAATAAAACTAAAATCACAGCAATGTTATATAATAATATAATTACGTTATCACACGGTACTTCTGATTTCTGAATTACAATCAAATGATATTTTTAATTGAATATTTTAAAAGGTAACTATGTAAAATATAAAAAAAAACATACTTAATGTATTTGTAACAAAACTTATTGATATAACATATAATTTACAAATATATTTATTTAGATTAGAATAAGAGTCGTTCGTGAATGATGGGCACGCGAGAGTTAAAAAATTGATGAATTTAGTCAATTTTTCCCTGTTTTCATGGCTTGGACGTGGAAACCTAAAAATAAAATAAAAGACTAATCAGCAAATTTAAATATCAGAAATTTAGCCTAATTATGAATACTTCCATTTGTTTCTAGAAGAAAACAACATATTATGCATAATCATTCTCAGACTTAAGTACCGACAGAAACGTCGCATCTGAATAAATTAATTTCATAATCTATATTTCATGGCCCATGATGGCGTCTTTTGAATAATTTGTTTGATTAATTATTAATCTATAAAACTTTTTTATTAAGTATTTTACTCACCGATGAAAAGTTATTCAACATTTCTTGAATTATTTGTGCAATTTCTAAAACACACCGTGGCGTATTTTATCAAGAATTTTTTTTTATAATCAACACAGCATGTGTCAACTAGCTTGCTACATATATATTTATCTATGGTGTCAACTCACTAGCGCCTAGCGAGCGACTGAGTAAAGTGCGGCAATATCACCGCAGTTGAATGGAACAGCATAACATCAGTGCCGTCTCTAGTACGTAGTACATAATAGCTCAATGAATAATTGTAAAAACAAATGGGATAGTATGGATTAGAAAAATTTGAGACATAAGCGACAATTCAATCATCTATAAAAAAGTTTTAAGCGGTTATATTAACTGCCTATTTTTCAAGAAGAAAGAAGAAACAAATGTACCTAATTTAATTCAAAATATCTAAGATATTAACATTTGAAATCGATTAACGTCACAAAAGTTTGATATTTATGAGTAAAAATGGTTTTATTTTAATACAGATAGCATAGAATTAATTATTAAATATAATTTAATACAGACAACATTAGAAGAAGAGAGAGAGAATGACATTGTCGGCAAGTTTACACTCATGATAAAAAAAATCTTGTTAAGTTTATAAAAATTCCGTAGATTGCAACGTCAAATTCCGTAGTTCCGTAGATGATGACAAATTTCCGTATATCTATAGAAAATTCGTAGAGTTGGCAACACTGCATTGATAAGCAACATAAGATCCACCAATACAAATGTGAAATTTTACAAACTCCCCTCTTCTCACACTCCGCCGCGCGCCGCATCGCGCCGTCCACCCGACCGCACCTCAAACAAGTTTGGACTCGCTTTCGCTTTACTTAGGAACCGGTAAAATAAAGGTTCTAATTTAGGTTCTGGTTCCTGTTCCGGTATAGGTACCGAAACCCCTAAATACCGGTTCTATACCGGTATTTTGGGACCGTTTTCAATCCCTGCTTTTCAGTCCACCACGGACATTAAATATATTAAGGGGGAAGACAACGTTGTTGCAGATGCCATGTCCTCGGATTGAATCCATTTCTCTCGAAGAAGATTACAGTGTATTAGCAAAAGGCTCAGCAGTCTGATCCAGAGCTTGCTGAGCATCGCAATTTACCTACCTTCTTTGAAATTAAAAAAGGTGAATATTCCCGGTACGGACGTCACCATTTGGTGCGACACCTGAACTGGTCGACCTCACCGATATATGTTTATACCTTTTCATCGCGCTACATTTGGTCGCCTACACAACCTCAATCACTCTGGTGCGCGTGCATCCGTACGTTTAGTGTGTGAACGCTATGTTTGGCCGCAATTTCTTCGTAGGTGGTTGGTGGCGAAATGCCACGTATTTAAGGCTAAGAAGACCTATAATATAATTTTATGTATGACAATATGAGTCTGTAAAGAGCTAAGGAGTCGTTACGATTCAGAATTAGAATTATAAAAGCTGTAAAAATTCTTCTTGCATAATTACCTGATCCATTCTTTCCTTCTTCGCATGTATTAAATAGGAATTGTAAAGTTCGTCTGTTCTTTTATTAATATTATAATTCAGACGTCGCTACATAAATCCCTATAATTTGTTGATTTCATTATATAATGAGTTACATATAGTTTATAGAACAACTACAATAGAATATATTAATAATGGAACCATACATTCAGCGAGTGCGCCGAATGCTTCGAATGATATATTAATTATCTTGAGGTTAGTACTCACCTTAAGAATTTAAGTTATTTTGACCAATAATGACACACGGTAATAAATAGCACTTACAATAAAATTTGCTCAGACGCCAAAAAGACTAGTTTATAAATTATAGATTTGATATAAAATCATATATTATCATTGTTAACGTTGTTTTAGAAGTCTGTATTTTACAAAAAAATACTTGTGTGTTTAATAAATGGCTTCACTAAAGAACGCAGCTTAAAACATAGACCATGCATAGACAATTATTTTAACTCTGTCAAGCATGACATCTGTTGGTAGTTAGGCCAGAGGGGCTAGAACCCACAGCCCTAAAGCCAGTTATAAAAAAATGTTAGTAGTCTGTGCACGACATTAATGTCATGTCATTGAACCGTTTTATCACACGTAGAGTTAATAATTGGATTTTATTAATAAAATTATATTTTTTGACTTAATTTCAATAGAGAAGGACAACAAAAATAGTATCAACAATGTGGTTAGATGAAGCGGATGGATTTGCGGAAATCTTTAAAGGCTATTTACCTTACTATTTGTTGGTCGCTCTTCCCATATTTATAATTATGTCCCCAGTAAATCCTGTTGCTGCCTCACATGAATTTTCTGTATATAGAATGCAACAATACGACCTTCACACTGTGCCCCATGGTAAGTACAAAAAATAAGTCCAATTCTAATTTATAATTTGTCCAAAAATGATGAACTTTAATTTTTAAAGGTTATATTCTAATTATCTATACGGGGTACATGATCTAGACTGTTTACATAGTGATAAATCTTTATTCAGGTCATCTTTGGTTTTGAATTTTGTAATTTTATTTTATAGTAATATAGTTGGTAAATCTTATGATTGGTTTGATTTGTTGATTAACTTTACCCAACAAAATTGAATAAATAAGTTGTAATATCAAAATATACTGAAAATAACAACAGCTCTTTTAATAATTTACTGCCATACCTCTCCCGTTCTGCAACTCTTAACAATAGTATCTTACAGTAAAACCTAATCCATAAGTTCTGCTGCTGCTGGTCTTATGACATCCAATTTAGTTGCAAGTATAGCTTGAAAACTTTACCTAAACTAATCTAACTAAAGTTTTCATGCATTATATGCAGCCTCATAATCAATACTGCTACAAAGAACATCAGTCTGTCTAGCTGTTTACAGACTGATGACAACATTCAAATGATTTTTATGGCAGGATGTCGCAGTGCCAGTTTTAACCTGGAAGGCCGATCACTTTCTTCCTGGAGTACATCTCGGCACTGTGTGGTTGCACATATTCAAGATATAACCATTGAACAATTTATGGAAGTTCGGAGCAAAGCCGGGGCTTTGTTGTTGGTGCTACCAAAGAACGACACAGTCCTAACACCAGAAGAGAAGGAGGTAAATGTCAAATTGAAGGAGTTTTATATGTGGTAGAACCATGCTGCAACTATATTAATAGTATAGTTAAAGGACCACGCTCTCACAGAATACTAGCGTAAAATAGCCGCTTAATGCTGCTGTGTTTCATGTGGTGAGTGTAAAGAACCGGAGACACTTTTTAGTGGAAAAGAGGCATTCTATCTTAGCTCTCATGGCTCACAACGCATCTACATTTTAACTTCGCAAACGAAGATAGATGTAGATGTCTATGGGCGGCAGTAACCACTTACCATCAGGTGGACTGTGTGCTCGTTTGTCATCCTTATTCTATAAAAAAAAAACCTATTTGTTATATTTTAGCTAACTTCAACTAGAAGAAGATATACTTCTTAAATAGTGAGGTGTGTGCTTTTATTCCTGCAATAATTTTTAGCTCATGAGTATGTTCTTTTAATATTTTTGGATCCTCCCTCCCATCTGGACAGATAGGATGAACATACATCTCCGACTTTTAGCACTTTTGATCTGTGAGTAGGATACCATAATTGTTAGCATTTTCCAACATTTCCATTACCCAACAATTGTAACAGCCTTAGATGAGACACTGTTAGTGTATTCTCTTATGAAAACGAAAGACTGCCAAAAAACATTTTTCTCTTCAGCATATCCAACTACTGGAAATGGCAATGACCCAACAAGAAATCAATGCACCAGTTTACTTTGCGAAATGGTCTCCTGAGTTTGAAGATATCATTAAGGACCTTCAGCACGGCTTCATCACGGATGACAAATCGGGCACAGCACTAGAGGCAATGTTTAATACTGTCTCCTCTAATGGCTACCAAATTGGTAAGTTAATAAATTATTATGTGTATCAGGTCCAGTATATTGTATTGATGACTATGTTGCCACATGACCAGAGTACCAAGATCTTATGTTATGGGATCTAATCCATAACTGCATTTTTGTATTTGTACTGCATTTTTTTCAATGTTTTGATGTCATGGTTAACCCAGACCACCTTCAGTTTTTAATGTATTTTGGTTTGATCTGTGCAGAATGATCCTCACATGAACTTGATTGCTGCAAAGCATTGGAAATGTTACCAAGTATAAAAATAGGTAGATTTATTTATTTATCTACAAGTTACAAATAACATCTTATAATAAAGTAAAAACTTAAATCTTATCACCTCACCATAACGTTACATATATAAGTGAAGAGCTAATGCAAATCCAAATTTAAATGAGGTAAACAAAAATACATTGCGAGTTATGATAATATTGTTACAGAAAAGTCAATGTTCTACCCTCCATACTAGTTTGCACTATTACGGCAGGCGTAGTCATCTTCCTCAAGGGCAACAACAGATTTAAAGTGCTGTGTGTGGTAGCTCAAGGGCTAAGCACTTCATGACACCACTTGAATTGCCTTAGCAATTTCTTTAAATCATAACTTTTAGGCTACTATATTGCCCAGTAATGATTGCCTTATACCTAGGTGTTTTTCAGGTGTGCAATTTAAATATATAAAACAATCCTGTCATACGGAATGAATTCTTAATTTTTTTTTCTCTGGCATTGCAAGATGTTTATATGTTAAGATTGGAAATATATCGTTTCATATATATATATATATATATAAATATAATAAACCATAATTTCTCTTCCACGGAATCGGTGAAACTAATTTTTTGAGCAAAATTCAACGTGTCACTCGGGCGATTGTGGCACTACTAATCTTCGGTCGGGCGACATGTGTAGCTACGGAAGGTATTTCATAGAATTACACAGAAACCAGTAGTGTCGCGACGACACGTCGCCTGCTGCTGCTCTCTGCGATCGGCTACGGAATTGTACCTTAAAACTTAACAATCTTAATACTATCAATGTGTATGACGCACGCGCGCGTGCGTGTCTGCGTGCTTGCGTGTATTTGTGCATGCGTGTATATGTTCACGTTGTTAAAGCGAACATGCAACTGCAGTACAGGGCATATTACGCCTAAGTTCAAAATGTTTTAGTTACGGTATTTTTAAATAATTTCTCAACAACCTTTTTCTTATGGAATAAGCGTGACAAACAAGCTCTAATGCTGTGTTTGCTAATATTGATTAAGATTGCTAATGAGCTTGCCAAGCGTGGCGATTATAACAAATCTACAATGGGAGAGACACATGTGTAGCAGTGGACTTTGTATAGGTTAATAACGAAGTATTATAATATTACTTGGTGAGTTGTTAACAAAAATGTCGAAATCGACTAGGTTTATTCTTGTCGTAAGCTTCATATCGTTACGTTGCTGTTTCTAGTGGTATCGGCGTCAACTCCCCAGAAAATGGAATCCAAGCCAGTGACCATTCATGGCAAGCTGGTGGGCCGTTCTGGAGCGGCACAGACTATAGTTATCGCTGCACACTACGACTCGGCCGGTCTTGTGCCTGTAAGTTAACATTGTTATTTATTCTTTAAAAAAAAAACGTCACTTCTACAGGGGACTTTCTCCTGTATCGTGGAAGCGTTTAACATACATAAATTGTACAGAACATTAAGTATTTGGAAGTCATACAAATGTTTGTCCTTTGCGGGAATCGAACCCGCGCCCCTGCAGCGCCGCAACCGTTCACCAAACCACGTGGATGTCGTAAGAGGGGAAGAGAGGAAATTTAGAATTGCCAGAAAGATCTAATTATCAGACATGCAGTATTCGCCACAATGCTTTGCAATTCCTTCACCGCCGAGAACTTTAAATTGCAAATTATTAATTGTTAAAATTAATAATTTCACTTGCTCCTGCAATAGATCAACTTGTTTGCTTGCACTAGTAAATTTATGTTGAGCTCTTAGCCCCTGAATGCACATCCATAATAATATTTTTTTATCAGGAGCTATCCCAGGGCGCAGACTCGAACGCATCCGGTGCCGTGGCGTTGTTAGAACTTGCCAGAATCTTCTCCCGACTCTACTCTACCGCAGCAGTTCGCGGTGGACCATCTCTAGTCTTCGTTCTCACATCGGTTGGCCATTCCCTGAACTACTTCGCAACGAAAAAGTGGTTGGAGGAACAGTTGGATTCTACTGATGCTACAATATTGACGGTAAGATAATAGAATCTAATGTATTTTACCCATCCACCCTAATGCCCTGAATTAGGGTTATGTTTTTCGATTATATCTATGTATCCATATGTCATCTTTTTAACTGAACTGATAAACAAACATACAGTCGACTTTATGATAAGTGGTTACTGTAGCTAATGCATACATGCAACCAACTTCAAATAAAGACTGCTACAGATGCATTATCACCTCTGAGGACTAAAGCCGTGTATTGATTACGCGCCAATCAGTGCGTTCTGCGGAACGCGCTCCAAATGTTCTAAGTGTATCAACTAAGCGTGCCTGGCGCGCCCGCCATGAATGACCGCGCCGACCAGTGCATTCCGCGGGACGCGCTGCAAATGTTCCAAGTGTATCAACTAAGCGTGCCTGGCGCGCGCGCCGTGAATGACCGCGCCGACTAGTGCGTTCCGCGGAACGCGCTCCAAATGATCCCAGTGTATCAACAATGCGCGACTGGCACGCGTGGCATCTGTTCCAGTGTTTGACCGTTCAACATGGATGTCAATGGTGTACGAACAGCTGCCGCTTTCATAGTTCCATGCATCTTCTCGGAGCGCTTTATTATGATAAAAATGATTTTATTTGCTATTCCACGGCAGTACTTTTGAACCATTATAATTTTATCAATTTACGACAACTTTGGTTATCCATAGCTCGGAACGCAACGAACACACGAATAATGAAAAGAACCTTCCCAAGAGGCCCGCGCGCCAATACTTAACTACATTGATACGCGGTATAAAACCGGCAGCAGATGAAATGGCCCGCTCCACGTTTGAGCGCTCCAACGAACAATTTGGCGCGCGTTCCAAGGCGGTATCCATTTCGCCTGGCTGGAACGCGTGCCAATGTTCGACCTTTTGGAGCGCATAATCGATACGCGGCTTAAGATACATTTCAGATCTATAAAAACATGCGCGAGTGTCGTGGAACACTCGGTTGGAACGAAGTTCCTTTCGTAGTATTATATTATTATTGATAAACGTATTATATTATTGATTAACAAATACAAACAAATGAAGCGTGTATTAAAATGAAGCATCATTTAAAATAATGTTTCTTTCATGGTAAGATAAGAAAAAATGCTAGGGAGATGGATATTATTCTATCTCGCTCGCACTATAGAAAGGGAGTCGTGACGGAAAAATCTTACACTTTCTCGCTTAGCCCCCATCCGTCAAATTCGTACCGCGCGATATGGAACTTTATTACAACTACACAAGGTTACACTTAACCAGATGGAACGAAGACCTATTAAAAAGTTACTTTTATATTGTGTGGGGTATTGTCTACAAATTTATATAGGACCATCCCTCAAGCAGGTATAACCTATTTAACAAAAATGAATCTTCAAAATCAAGTCTCAATTGCTGAAGATATTGCGTAACATACATACAAAAAGAAACATAATATTGTACATTCGAAAAGGACTTTTACGAGGGCGGCACTGAAAATTTTGGGAATCAAGGAAGTGACACAACATTACTATTTAAAAATGTATTTATTGCTTTTCGAAGTATTCTCCGCGAAATTTGACACATTTTTCCATACGATGTAACCAATCATTGAAGCAACCATTCCATTCGGAAGTTGGGATCTCCAAAATGGCCGTTTTGTAGGCGTCCACAGCTTCTTCAGGTGATGAAAATCTCTGTCCACGCAATTTATTCTTTATTTTAGGGAAAGTATAGGAATCATTAGGGCTTAGGTCGAGGCTGTACGGCGGATGGTCTAATAATTCTATGTTTTCTTGCTCTAAAAACTCTTTTTGTTCTGTGTGCGGTGTGAGAACTCGCATTGTCGTGATGGAGGATGATGCGGCGGTTGCAGTTCTCTTTACGGAGTTCAGAAACGACCTGTGGCAAACAAATGCTAGTATACCATTCTGAATTAACCGTTCTTTGTCCCTCAAGAGGAATAGTTGTAACATGGCCGGTTTTGGAGACAAACGTGACCACCATTTTTTTTTGCAACACTCCGTGAACGAACAATTTTTGTTGGCTTTAACTCATTTTCGAACACCTAAACTCGTGACCGGGTTTTTTGTTTCGGGTTCGTACGTGTATATCCAGGATTCGTCACCTGATACGATGTTGTATACAGCATTTGAGGATCCTGCGTGGAATCTTTCGAGAGTTTTGACGCACCAAGTAACGCGAGCCGCTTTTTGATCTTCACAGAGCGAATGCGGTATCCATCGGGAAAACCACTTTTTTACACCTAATTGTTCATGCAAGATTATTTGTATTTGACTCATGCCAATGTCTAAATTTGCTTGAATTTCGCGGTATGTCACATGTCGATCTTCCTCAATCAGCTTACGCACAGCATCAACGTTTTCTTGGGTGACTGCAGTTTTTGGACGACCTTGACGGGGATCATCACTGAGCTTGACACGTGCACATTGAAATTCAGCAAACCAGCGATAAATTGTGGTTTTGGATGGGGCTTCATCAACAAATGCAGAAATCATCCGGTCAACACACTGTTTTTGTGTTAAACCACTTCGAAAGTCATAATAAATCATCGCTCTTGAATTTTCTCGAGTCAATTCCATTTTCTCAACGACTAAACAAGTTTGACAAAACCTTGTGACAAGACCGAGAATCTTTTTTTAAATAAATAAGTGGTATTCGATTTTTAAAACCAAGGTCTTTTCAATTAAAAAGATTTTAATATGACAGGAACAGTGGAAATATTCCATTCCCGATACTTTTAATGCAGCCTATGTACGCTTATTGTTGACGAAAAATTATTTGGGGTCTTAATATCTTCATAATGGGCCTTTTCTATTTAGGACGTGTCGTTCGTGATGTGTCTGGATTCCCTGTCGTCGCCGCAGTTGACGATGCACGTGTCGAAGCCCCCGCGGGCCGGCGGTGCGGCCAACTCGTTGCGTTCCCGCCTCAAAGTGCCAATTGTGCACAAGAAAATCAACTTGGCCGACGAGCTACTCGCTTGGCATCATGAAAGATTCAGTATTAGAAGAATGACAGCGTTCACGCTTAGCTCTTTGCAGGTATTTCATAAATTTATAATTTTTTGTGTTTTAATTCGAGACATTATCTCAAACTTAATTGTTCACATTGTTAGTGCAACAAAATCTGTTTTAAATTTATCTTAACAACATTAGAACTAGTGTTAACGAAATCTGTATTCATATAACCGAAAAATATTTACATGTTGATGGAACGACGTTTAAAAATGTATGTTCAGGTTGTATGAAACATAATTGGAATAAATAGTGGTAAAGCGTATGAGAAGCGCACAGGAAAACTAACGCTTTCTTTTAAAAAACTGAGATTCCATTTCCTAAGTATAGCTTTTTTTTATTAAATAAGGGTGACAAATGAACACGCAATCCACTGGATGGTAAGTGGATGTTGTGGCTTATAGACATCCACATCTTTCCTGGATTAAGAATCAAAATGCAGATACGTTGTCACCCTAATGATGTAATGCCTTCTCCAGTTTCTAACACTCATCATACAAAACACAGCAGCAGGAAGCTGCTGTTTTACGTTATTCTGTGAGAGCATGGTCATATATGTCCTTATAATCAAATAGATTCGTGATTCTTTCTCGATATTATAACAATAGTTATTGAATTTTTAAAATTTATTTTGTATTTTTTCTTATCTATTACTATTTATTCATTGGTTTAGTTAGAAAACTTATTATAACAGTTAAGTATGTAACAACGCGTGACAATTTACGGGGTGAGAGGATGTTAAGCCCCGCCCACTTTATTATCTACATCTACCGATAAATAGTAAAACTACTCGAATCGTTCCTTGTCGATGTTGCCTTAGCTACCTTGTCGAGCTTAGCTACCTTGACGATACATGGCGGCTTGTTCACAAAATGATTATAAAAACTATAAAAATAATATTTTGGCGATTAAAAATTCTTTAGGACAGAATACAAAACAAATTTTAGCACCTTCACAAGATTATTTTACCAATATTGAGCTTTACGTACCTTTATATTTTTAGTTCACATGACAAAGTGTCGCCATCTAGTGTCGAATATATTTAGTTATATTTGAAAGCCGACGCAAAGAGATTTTTCTAGAACTATTTTAATAAATAAGTTGTAAAATTACTTACAAATGAAATTTGATGCCATCTATAGCATCAGAGCATCTATCTGAGTAGTTTTCACACGATAAAACACAACACTTCATCCTTTTCTTCTTAGTACTACGAAAATAGACCGATTTGCAATTTTCAATACACAAGCGCACAGGATGAATGCTGATAGTATACTAACTAAAGCCACACCCACTGTGATGATGTCAGGACCTACTTAGAATCATAGTGCACAGTTGCTTATGCCAACTCCTCTTTGTATTTGCTTCATGGTATGGACTATCTCTGCTTAATATCTCAATTTAAAGAAAAAATTTAAACAAAGGTTGTATGTAAGACAAAGATTTTAATATTGTGAATATTGTGATTAAAATTTTTTCATCATTACCACCCTTTGAAAAATGTTATTCATCACCCTAAAGTTCACTACTGGACATTAGGCGCTCTTTGTAACCCTTATCTCTAAATCTCTAACCTTAATCTCTAAATGCCTTGCAGACACATCTTTGACCTTGCACATCTTCGTCTCCGTCTCTATTCTAAGTATTTTGTGTTTGACATAAACGAGATAGTAATATCTTTATCTACCATCGTTAACTTATGTAAATATTACATACCATTGACTACACCCGGGAAAAAATTACGGTATAGTTCCTCTTAGTTACATATAGAATTTAAAACAGATTCAAAAATTCTTTGTGAACAGAGTCATAAAGACCCAGCTCGTAGTACGATCCTCGACACACCGTCGGAGACCTCGCTGAAGAATCTGGCGTCACATATCGCCGTGACAGCGCGTGCCCTCGCCTCCCACATATACAACCTCACCGACGAAGAAAACGACGAAGACCCAGCTATATACGACGACGCTCTTGTACGTAACTATTATTTTTGTATACAAGTAACGGTGACAAACGAGTACACTGTCCACTTGTGGTAATAACAATACTGTCCTCCAGATCGAATTCTGATCACGGCGGCCGGTCTCAAGCGAGACTAGACTAGACTACACTACGCAGGACAGAATTACAGTGTCCGAGTATATGCGCAAGCACAGGTGCACTCTCTATTCCCTCACTCTTATAGTCCGATGGGACGGTTATCCGCCACGACCGGAGAGAAATCATGCGCATGAGCAACGGCTTAACGTGCTTTCGAGGCACAGGGTTGAATCACCGAATGATTCCGGGCTGCTATTGGACTTTCTTGACATAAAAACCCAAGAACTGATTTTGGCCCGACCCGGAATTCGAACCCGAGATCATGGGGATCAGCAATCGCGTTTACGACCAAGACCAACGAAGCACCCGTATGGTAAAGTTACACAAACTATATACTCTCACTCACTCCTGGGTACAGACCTCTCATTTGTGAGAGCGTTTTAGGGCAAGGAATTGTTCACTGCGATGCCCCAATGCGTGTTGCCCTACTTTTTTTTTTTTTAAAACGTTACCCCCACACTAGGATTTTCTCCTGAGGAGGCAGTTTACATACATTGCACGAGGACAAACATCCTGTTATGGATCGCAGTGGACTGTATTATTGATGGGGTAGGGGGTGTACGCTAGGGGGCAACTGCTCAAAGAAAAGATGGTACTGTCGAACTATACTGTATTCTAACTATTTACAAAATGTGGCACTATTAACTACACTATTATACAGAGGGGAGTCTTCTTGATGGAGTCTTCTTGAGTCTTGATTTTCTTGCTGTCTTCTTCTCGTTGAGTGCCGCTTCCGAAATGAACAACAACCGTCCGGGACGCCCTTCTTATATCTCGCCGGAGAGCGTCTCGGGTCGTGCGTAGCGTCGTCCGCGATGCCGCGCGCTCATTGGTCGGCGACATCGCGTGATCTGCTGCCGGTGTGCGGGGTGCGCGGGGCGCACCGGGGTGTGAAGGGGCGACGGGGCGGCGGCCTCCTCGCTGTCCGCTACATCCTCCCCCCGGCGTAGCCTGCGAGCCTAAGCTTCTCTCGGGAGGACGGCGATCTTCCTGACGGGCCGCCGCAGCACTCCTCCTTTGGTCCGGACCTCGACGTTCCGTACCACGCCGTCTGGTCCAGGAAACGTCTTCGTTACGATGCCCCGCGGCCACACATTCCTGGGTAGGTTGCCGTCTGCAACCACGACGAGGTCTTCTTCCTGTATTTGGCGCTGCTGAGCATCTCTGGAGTCCCCGCGCGCGACCAGCGTCGGCAGGTACTCCTTCACCCAGCGCCTCCAGTATTCGTCGGCGAGCGCCTGCGCCGCTCTCCACGCCCGACGATCCATTGGTGTGCACGGCGCGGTGACTGGCAGGCCCGATGGTCAGTAGGAAGTGGTTGGGTGTCAGCGCCTCTTCATCGTCGATGTCGACCGATACGTGCGTCAACGGTCGAGAATTTATAGTGTTTTCGGCTTCCGTCAGAAGCGTTGCCAGCGTTTCTTCTCGTGGGCTCTTCTGATGGAGAGTGGCTTCGAGCGCGGTCTTCACTGAGCGCACGAGACGCTCCCATGCGCCTCCCTGGTTAGGCGCGCCCGGTGCGATGAACTTCCAGTCGACGCGCCGAGTCAGCGCGTAATCCTTCAGCTGTGGCGCCCACTCTTCCATTGCCCGTCGTAATTCTGTGTTTGCCCCATGAAAATTAGTCCCATTATCCGAATAAATAACCCGTGGCCACCCACGCCTAGCCGCCATGCGCCGCAATGCCGATATCGCCGAGTCCGCGGTCTGGGAATAGACTATCTCTAGATGTACTGCGCGCGTCGTTAGGCACGTGAACAGTGCCACCCACCGTTTTTCGTGCCGTCGTCCTATCGTAACCGTCAGAGGCCCGAAATAATCAATCCCGGTGTTCGTAAATGGTCGCGCAAACGCCCCTAACCGTTCAGGTGGTAGGTCTCCTGTAACCGCAGGTCGTGGTGTCGCCTTCCGTATTCTGCATCGTAGGCATCTCCGCTCCGCTTCCCGTACTGTAGGTCGTAATCGGAGGATATGATACCTAGTGCGCAGGTCGTTCACCACCCTCTCCCTATTGGCGTGGCTTGCTTCCTGATGCGCCTTCTCCACAAGCAGCTTCACAAATTGGTGACGTCCATTCAGGATAATGGGTCTCTTCATTTGACCGTCCACGTCGGCTGCGTCGATCCTTCCCCTGGCTCGTAGCACTCCATCCTCCAATATGGGGTCGAGCTTCCTTAGTGCGCTGCCGGTGGTCAAATTCTTTCCCCGCTGAAGGCGGCTGAGGTCTTCAGCGAAGCTTTTCTGCTGGCTGTGTTGTATCCACATCCGTTCTGCTCTCTGGATGTGCTGTAAGGTCAGTCCTCGTGCTCTTCCTCGTGCCGCATCGAGGAATTGTAGTACTCTTGCAGTGGCCCTGATTAACTTCTCGTAGGCAGAGAATCTCTCTATGTCTGGCAGGTGTGGAGCTTCCTGGGTGTCGCTCTGGTGCGCCACGATTTCCTCCAACTCTTCATCATCCCCCGCCTTCTCTTCCTGTCGGTGAGGCCATCTGTCTTCATGCTCGTAGAGGAAGGGTGGTCCGGTAAACCACTTGTCGCTCTCTTCCTTAGTTGTGAAATTCATCCGCGTTGCTTGATCCGCTACGTTTTCCGCAGTCGGTATCCACCTCCGTTGCTCGGGTGATGTCTTCTCAGCTATCTCCCCTAACCGGTGAGCAACGTATGGAGTGTAACGCGCCGTATCGTTTTGTATCCAGTGGAGCGCCGTAGTAGAGTCCGTCCAATATACGACCCTATCCGCTACCACTCTGTGTTCGTCCTGCACGAATTCCGCGAGTCGCGCGCCTATTAAGTTCGCCTGCAACTCTAATCGCGGTATACTTTGCGCTTTAATTGGGGCGACTTTCGCCTTAGCCGCCACTAATCGCACCCTAATCGTTCCGTCGCGATATCGTATACGCCAATACGCCGCGGATGCGTACGCACGTTCGCTCGCATCATTGAAGACGTGAAGTTGACGCTCTACAACTCCCCCCGTAGGAGCATAGCACCTTGGCAGTCGTAGTCGTGATACCTCCTCGACGACTCGCAGCCATCGCTGGAATTCCTCTGCTGCCTCCTCGGGTAGTTCGTCGTCCCATCCGACCTTCTTCATGCGCCATAGGTCTTGTAGCAGGATCTTGGCGGTGATGGTGAGGTAACTCAGCAGTCCAAGCGGGTCAAAAACGGACATGACCGCGCTTAATGCTTCCCTCTTGGTCGGTGGTCGCTGTAGCGTCTTCACTTCCTGCGGCACCCTATTCATTGACGTGTTGAATGTTAGGGCGTCTTCCTCAGCCATCCATAATAACCCTAGGGTTCTGCCTGGGCTGTCTTGTCTTAAACCTACTTCTTTGGGCTTACGCGCCAGTAAGTCCTCCGGCTTGTCTTCTAACAGGGCTGCGTGGTTGGAGTTCCATCCTGCCAAGGTGAAACCGGCCTGCTGGTGCACTTCCGAAACCTGCTTCGCCGTATTTATCGCTTCCTCTACCGTGGCATAACTGTCTAAATAATCATCCATGTAATGGCTACGTATGATAGCGTTAAGTGCCAACGGGTGTGTCTCTGCGTGTACGCGCGCGTTATGATCCCTAACGCTATGTGCGAGAAACGGCGAGCTCCTCGCACCGAAAATCATTGACGTCATAACGTACTCCCGCGGTGGGCTGTGTCGCTCGTCTCCTCGCCAAAGAAACAACTGCGCGGGCTGGTCGCGACGGTCGATCTTTACACGCAAGAACATCTCCCTAATATCCGCGGACACCGCTATCTCGTTTTCCCTAAATCGAAACAGTATGCCCGGTAGGTTCCGTAATAAGTCGGGGCCGTCGAGTAAATAATCGTTAAGGCATCTGCCGGATGCACGCGCTGCCGCGTCGAACACTAATCTCGTCTTCCCCGGCTTGTTCAGATTCCGTACTGCGAAATGTGGCAGGTACCAGCTCTTGGGATCCTCTCGCTCTGTCCCCTCGGCTTCCCTTGCGTATCCCTTCGCCAGGAGGTTGTCTATCTGGGCTGTGTAGGCGTCACGAAACTCCGGCGACTGGTGCATTTTCCTCTCTATCGTCCGTAGTCTTCGCGCTGCCATCTCGTAGCTGGGTGGCATCCGCACGTTGTCGTCCTTCCATGGCAGTCCCACTTGGTATTGCTCGCCGACCTTCTTGACGGTGCGCTGGAATATGTCGACAGCGCGCTCCTCGTCCCGTCGCGGCCTACTCTTCAGCGAGATACCTATAGAGTCTATCTCGTACTGCCGTTTGAGGAGTTCCGTTAGCTCCTCGTCCCGACTGGCAAACGTTCGGATGTCCCTATCTGACCGTCCGCTAGCGCTCTCTACGTGTAATACGGTCTCGCCGTCTTCCCTACACGTTAACCGCGACACGGTTCCCTGAATTACCCATCCTAATAACGTTCGTACAGCTATAGGCTGCCTTCGACGTCCTATCTTTAAAGCACGGGTAATTATCAAGTGCCAATTGTCGGCGCCTAATAGCAGTCTTGGCTTCACGTCGTCGTAACACACCGAACTCGGGAAGTCACGTAAGTGCTTTAATCGTAAGCACTCCCTACTCACGGACTGCGAGCCTATCTTCAAGTCGGTTATTGTTCGCGCGTTTATGTTAAACATCTCGCTGCGCGTCTTGCCACGTATCCCTATATTGACTAATCTACTATTAGCCTCGCGTTGACTGTTACCTACGCCTTTAATGTTGAGCGGCTTTATCGGTCCTTCCGCTCCTAACTCGCGAGCTAAGTCGTCGTCGATTAGCGATATCGTAGAGCCTTCGTCAAGTAGCGCGTACGTGTTTACTTCCTTTCCGCGTGGTCCGCGCACGGTTATCGGACACACTTTTAACAATACGGACGCACTATTGCTAACACTCGACGCGACGAGCACGGTTTCGTCCGGTTTAACCGACGCTGCAGGCGTACGGGCCTTACGGGTGTGAAGAAGAGCGTGGTGGGGGGCGTTACAACCGTCGACGCCGCACTTCCTGGCTTTGCAGCGTATACGCCGGTGCTTGCTGCTCAAGCACCTGAAACATACCCCCTCTTCCCTAACCCAATTCCACCGGTCGTCCGAGCCCATTTGCTCTAACTTCTTACACTTGACGATAGGGTGTTCACCCCCGCAACACATACATGAGGCACTACCGGTGTCCTCCTGGGCGGTGAACGTCTTTACGTCGCGGGCCCTATCTTCTACGCGGCGTGTTAACACTATTCTTTTCGACGGCGGCGTCTCTCGTCTTACGGGCGATTCCTTATTCGACGCTACGGACGTATAGGCATGACTTAACGCACGGTCAACCTCTCTCATCATGAACCGGGATAACGTAACGATGTCCGGTTCGTCCACACTTCCGTAGTGCTCCGCGTAATCGCACCAACGCGACCGTAAGTGAGGGCTAAGTTTGCTAGTAACCTCCCTAGTCAGCATTGGATTACGCAAATAATCCTTGCCGTCGACGTTTTGCATAATGCACACTATATTTTGTAACTTAATTGCGAACGAGTTTAATTCCTGGGCGGTTTGACCCGGGCGCGGAAGGCGTTTCAATTCCTCTAACGCACGATCTATAATTACTTCCGGGCGGCCAAAACACTGCTCCAGTGTCCGCATAATGTCTGCTGGATCCTTCGCGGTAAACAGCAGAGCCGATACTACGTCTCTAGCCTCACCGCGTAAACAGTTCCTTAATCTTGCCATATTTTCCGTATTAGTGAATCCATACAAACGCGTGGATTCATTCATCGCGGCTTTAAATGCTAACCATTCCGCGGCCGAGCCGTTAAAAATAGGCAAGTCCTGCGTCTGTTTCGCGGCGGCTGGTCTAACTCTAACCATGTTTTCTAAAGCTTCCGCTAGCCGTTCTATACCCCTATCCTTCCCTCGCGGGGTGAGCGACCTATCTCTATCCCTATTTCCTTCTAGCCTACGCTGTGGCGCCGGCGACCTATGTACACCTACATCCCTATGACGCGGCGACGGTAATCTACGATCCGCAAGGCGATGTGGCGATTTATCTCTGCCTACATCATTACACGGCGACGGTGATCTACGATCCGCGTGGTGATGTGGCGATGGCGATCTATGTATACCTACATCCCTATGACACGGCGACGGTAATCTACGATCCGTAAGGCGATGTGGCGATCTATGTGTAGGCGATAGAGTGCGGCGTTGGACGCGCGACGGCGACGTAGCTCGTACACGACGATCCACCTGGTTCATTTCTACGGCGACTCCATTATCCCTCTGTATCCTATTTACGCGGCGCGGTTGAACGTCATTCGCGAACGACTTCCCCTGGGCATCTTCAGCGTGGTCGTAACCGGTTCCCCTCCTCGGTGGGGCCTGCTCTATCTCGATGCGGGGCGCGGGCTGAGGCGGGCGGTCGCACAGTCTCTACGTTTTCTAACCACCTATCAACGCGTACCCTATTTTCGACTAATTCGTCCTCGTTTAGGCTTTCCCTATCGGTTTCTTCTTGCAGTTGCGCGATATCCCTAGCATATTTCTTCTTGACGAGATCTTCCTCTATTTGCAATTGCTTCCTCCTAATTGCAGCTAGTTCCTCCGCGGCATTATATTCGATTTGTTTTAATCTCGCTACTGCGCTAGCTGTCGACCGGGCTGAACGGACTGAACGGACCGACGGGGCGCGGGACGCGGGCCTATGTACAACGTCTGCTACAGGCGCGACGGTACGCACTATAGAACTAGTTTCCGTAGTCGGAAGATCTTCTATTATCGCGGCGAGCGTTTCTGTGCGTGGCGCGGATGTGCTAACTTCTCCCAAGCGATCGGTTGTAGACACGGACATAGCGGGGCGCGGCGGCGCGGGCGCGGGCGCGGGCATAGATGCGGGCGCGAGCGGGGGCTGCGGCGCGGCGGGGTGCGCTTGTGCCAACGCGAGATAATCGGACGGGGACGCGGGTGCTTCCTCGAATATCCGCATTCCTACTGGCGTTTCGTCGTCGTTCCGTGTCTTCTGGCTTCTTGTTTTCCGCATGATGGTGTCCCTCGTTGCGACCTCCTATCGTCTTCAAAAAGACGCACGTATTGGACGCCGTTCCCGCCTCAAGGGCGTTACCGGATGGTCACAGTTTGGCACCGTTAGGGAGCAACCACCCGGCCGCGTAAACGCGGTTAAGAAACAGGAATTGTCTGGAAACAGACAATATATATGACGTCGATGTAAATAAGAAACGAGGAAGGAGTTAGTACCGACGATCTTCTCTCTTCGTACTTCTTTCTTCCTCGAAGATCTTCTGTAATGATCTTCTTTCTTCTGTAATTATGTTCTTTCTTCTATAATTATGTTCTTTCTTCAATAATTATGTTCTTTCTTCAATAATTATGTTCTTTCTTCAATAATTATGTTCTTTCTTCTTTCTTCTGGCTTGAATCCGGCGACGATGGACCAAGAACTTGTTATGGATCGCAGTGGACTGTATTATTGATGGGGTAGGGGGTGTACGCTAGGGGGCAACTGCTCAAAGAAAAGATGGTACTGTCGAACTATACTGTATTCTAACTATTTACAAAATGTGGCACTATTAACTACACTATTATACAGAGGGGAGTCTTCTTGATGGAGTCTTCTTGAGTCTTGATTTTCTTGCTGTCTTCTTCTCGTTGAGTGCCGCTTCCGAAATGAACAACAACCGTCTTTTTTTTTTTTTTTTTTTTTTTTTTGCGCCCGAAGCAATTGGAAAAGGGCTACCACTGAGGGAGGCGGAAAATGCATTATGCATACCACGACAGCCGGTCTGTCCTGGTTATGTGGGACTCACTGCCTACCGGGGGACCTAAGTGATACCCACTAAAAACCGCCTTTGGGGACTGGCAACTAGCTCTATTAAAGCTGCATATGCCGTATCTAAAGCGACCCTCTTTTGGGAAAAGAGGGCGCAGACGGCTAAGTGCCGTTTAGGGACTGCCTACGAAGGCATATTATTAATTTTAACTAATTTTTAATTTAATTAGGATTGGCCTGAGCCGCCAGGAGGCAGTTCAGGTCGTTTGACAACTTATTTGGCGGGTCCGAGAGAGTGTTTCTCGGCCTGCGGACGCTATAGCGAGAAGGGAGTGGGGCGGTATAAGTAACAACAACCGTCCGGGACGCCCTTCTTATATTTCGCCGGAGAGCGTCTCAGGTCGTGCGTAGCGTCGTCCGCGATGCCGCGCGCTCATTGGTCGGCGACATCGCGTGATCTGCTGCCGGTGTGCGGGGTGCGCGGGGTGCACCGGGGTGTGAAGGGGCGACGGGGCGGCGGCCTCCTCGCTGTCCGCTACAATCCAGACCCGGAACAATTATTTGTAGGCCATACTAATACTTGTTCCGTGCGGGATTCGGACCCGCGGCCCCCGGCGCAACAACTCATTGCTAAGCCACTGCGCCACGGAGCCGTCAATTTACTACTTTACATGTCTTTGAAATATTTATTTTTTAGACAGGCTGGTTTTCTCACGACGTTTATCACCACCGCCGAATATGTACTAAATCAGCACTTAAAATTGCAGTTAACAATCTCGATGGTACTGACGAACATCGAACCTGAGTTCCTCATGTACAATGTAAGCTAACACGGCCACCTGGACCGCTTTGCGGAATGAGTGAAATTTAAAATTTAGTTTTACTTGAATTGTAAATTTTAAAGGGCATGAAAAGATAAAACGAATGAAAGTTTGTGTGAAAGGTGATGAGGTTTGGTAACATTGTGTATACGAAAGAGAATAATATAAAATTAAAAAAATTGTACAGCAGACTTCAATATAAGTTATTAAGTATAACTCAACTCAAAAACTATTGGTCTGACCTTGATCAAATTCATATGGGACCACACGAGAAGTATCAGCTTTCATATAAAAAAAGATTCATCGAAATCGGTTCACCCAGTAAAAAGTTATGAGGTAACACACATAAAAAAAAACATACGCGTCGAATTGAGTACCGTCTCCTTTTTGGAAGTCGGCAGAAAATAGAATGAAACAGACAAATGGAGTGCAAGCTAGAGAGATTATATTAAATATTGTAATAAATAAGCAGGTGTATTTAACCGCTCAGGCGGCGACGTTTTCTACCCACTTCAAACAGGAGGTATTCAATTCCACTGTATGTTTTTCTTTTTTTTTATGTGTGTTACCTCATAACTTCTTCGAACCGATTTCGATGGTTCTTTTTTTATTTTAAAGCTGCTGCTTCACAGGTGTCCTGTATAAATTTGATCAAGGTCTGACCAATAGTTTTTGAGTTATGCTTAATAATTTATATTGAAATCGGTTGTGTAATTTTTTTTAATTCTACTGTTTGCTTAATTTCTATTAATAAAGTTAAAAAAAATGAGAAGCACCAGCTTTCAAATAAAAAAAGAATAATCAAAATCGGTTCACTTAGAAAAAAATTATGAGGTAACACACATAAAAAAGTACAGACGAATTGAGTACCTCCTCCTTTTTGAAGTCGATAGAAATTAAAATGAAGAATGAATAGAACGACTAGTTCCAATATGTAGATGGGATATTCTAATATTTGGGTTATGCACTAGGTACGACATCAATTTCAACCTGTATATAAAACATGTTCTTTTAAATTGCAGGCCGTAGAAGAGGCGTCAATCAAACACTGGTACGAGTACTTATCGTCGCAGCCCAGAGCGCCGCAGATCGTCACAACGTCTTCGCCGAATGCCGGTTAGTTAAACTTGGGTTAAACAGGCGTGAAGATGGACGAAGTACTGCTGTCACATATTTGACAAGTATTATAGTATAGGCTGATATTGCAAAATGCCATCTAGCAGCTTTGTACTCGGTGGAGAGACACGGTAAGATGCTTATTGGTAACGTAGATTTGGTTGAAACCAATCATGTCATCCTCAAGCACAGGCGCAGAGTAACCAGCCTTTCGGTATTCTATATCCTATAGAATACCTGCATTAATGAATTCGTAGATTGTGCGCAGGAATTTATGACATATCTCCTTTGTGGGTCCATTTGCTGTCGATATTCCACGCATTCGATACGAAGGTTTGACTTCGTCTTTCGTAATGGATACAGCAAAAGAGTGGAATGTATATCTTTCTTTCTTCCGAGTTTTGTCGTCCGATTACAGCGTGGGCGTCACCAAAGAAAGAGTAAGAGCTACGCTAAGAATGTGCGACTTACCATCTTCATCACCACTTAACATCAGATGGGATTGTTGTCAAGCACTGGCTTATAATAAGTAAAGGAAAATGTACTTGGATACGTCGCAAACCATGCCTTCTAATTCCAGTCGATATTTATCAAAATTCACACGGTAGAACCAAGCTGCAATTGTATTATGGCTGGTCAACTCTACTGGGGAACGACCCTACCCTTCTAGAATATTAGCTTGGAAAACAGCATAATGTCTTTGTCCTATAGTGAGTGTACAGAATCACGAAATCTTTTTCTTTTGATCTATACAAATAAATAAAATTAAAGTGTCTGTTTGTAATGTCAACATTACAGCTTTTTACTAAATGCACATGAAAGTATATACGGTACTTATAACAAAAATACAATTTTTAAAATTTTTGTCTGTCTTTCTGTCTGTTTGTTGCGGCTAATCTCCAAAACGGTTGGACCGACTTTGACGAGACTTTCACTGGCAGATAGCTGATGTCATAAGGAGTAACTAAAGCTACTTTTATTTTAGAAAAAGAATTAGGTTAGCGCAAAAAAAAAAGCTTGAAACCCCAAATAACAGGCGAGCGAAGTTGCGAGGAACAGTTAGTTTTAAATAAATGAAGAATGAAGGTGTCTACGAGTAACATCGTCCAGGTGGACTGTTATATAGTTTGCCACATTGATGTTTAAAAAATATTCACAATTGGTTGAGGTCATGATTCGAAATTCGAAATCGGTCGAGAACACATCATCATGCTCAGTGCTGTCCTTTAGCCGCCCACGCGCACATATTCATCACCAATACGTGATAAACGGAAGCAGCTTCAGAGTTACGGAGGTTAGAGACCTAGGTGTACATTTTACTGTAGACTTAAATTTTACATTACATATAAGTAATGTTAGTATAAAGGCATACCGTAACCTCGGACTGATAATGCGTCTTGCAAACAATTTCAGCAATCTCGGAACTCTGAGAGCGCTATATGATGCACTCGTAAGGAGCCACCTAGAGTGTAACGCCGTCATTTGGGCGCATCACGAAGCCAAATACAAATTTATGTTAGATCGAATCCGAAATAAATTTATCATATTCCAAGTACTTGAAACAATTTGGAGTTTACCCGGGCTATCTGTTGTTGTATCCCACTCTATTTTTGCTTGGTATGGTAGGGTACTACAAGCTAGAAGTTAGAAGGGAAGTCGCTCTCGCTATGTACGTATTGAAGGTGATGAGGGTAGGATACACAAGGCGGAGCCGCGCTGCGTTTGATCAATACCAAGTCGGAACGAACTGATTTGTTTTCGTGTTCGCTGAGTGAGCTCAGTAAAATGGCGTATCATACTGTAACGTTGGCTACACTGTCGAATTAGTTTGGTCATCCTGTAATGACTGTGTATGTTGTATGTGTGTAAATAAATAAATAAATGAATCATTCCAACCAATATGTAGTTATTATTATTTCTTACATATTTGTGTGACAACCTGATGGCAACGGAAAAGTTCCACCTGATGTGGTAAGCGGCTACTGCAGCTAATAGAGTTCAAGACCTTGAAGAAACTTCAAACAAAGAAAGTCACAGGCCAAAGTAAAAGTAATTCAATCGAATTTGTATTTTACGTCGACAGTTTACACTATAATATATCCAAATTTCTGGTCTGTAACAAGCTAGAGATCCGTGAATCCGGACAGAGTGACATTGATCAGGCTTCGTTTAACTCTATAGGTACAGAACCCTAGAAATATATTGAACAAGTTGTTTTTGAACAGGAGTCACGGCCGCTTTAGAGAGGGCGCTCTCGCGGTACATGGACACTACGGTTAGCACTCATGCGATCGACAAGCGCGAACCAGAGTACACACTCTACTCGCCTGTGCGAGCACTGCTTTACGTTTATAGGTGAGCTTTATTTTATATTGTTTTCTTGTTTTTAAAACTTCCAACTAGACCAATTTGATACACAATCCCGCTTGTTATAAATATATAATTTCGCAATTTTTTTATAGGATAGACAACAAACGAGCACACGGTCCACCTGATGGTAAGTGGTTGCTGTAACCTATATACATCTACATCTATCCTTAATAAACAATCAAAATGCAGATGCGTTGTAACCCGTGAGGACTAAGATGGAATGCCTCGCTTCCAGTAAAAATGGTCTCCGGTTCTCTACACTCACCATACGAAACACAGCAGCGTTAATCTGCTATTTTACGCAAGTATTCTGTCTGATAAATTTTATACGTGGTAGAGCCATGCTGCAGCTATATTACTAGTATAGTTGTAGCACGAATGGGTCGGCACGACCACGAAAGGACCACGCTCTCACGGAATACCAGCGTAAAATAGCAACTTAATACTACTTTGTTTCGTATGGCTGAGTGTAGAAAACCGGAGAACCTATTTACTGAAAACGAGGCATTGCATCTTAGTCCTCACGGGTGACGACGCATCTGCATTATGATTCTTAATTGAGAATAAATGTAGATGTCTATGGTCCATAGCATTCACTTGTCATCAGGTGGATTATGTGCTCGTTTATTATGTAATTGTATTGTTATGGTACTCGTATCAAGGTGACATACCATAAAAAATACAATAACATTTTTTTGTCTATGACTGTGAGAAATGTTCATAACACCTCCAATCGATGGCGGTGCTCCCATCACTTAAAAACTAGCTACACAGTGGTGTAAAGAGCGTTTAAGGTGGCACAAGTCGCGGGCTCGAACTCGCTGGTGGGCGCGGCCAAAAAGCACGCTGTCTCACCTGGCATCGTGCCCGACAGAGATAGTATCAGTGATGAGCATATCGACACTAGTATTCACGCATGTCTTGTTCGTACGGTGTTCCGAACCGTTAGAATAAAAACGAAGTTACACGAACACGATGCAACATCTATACTAATATAATAAAGCAGTAGAGGGTTTTTGTTTGTTTAAACGTGCTAATCTCTGGAACTACCAGTCCGATTTGAAAAATCTTTTTTTGGATATTATAGCCAGATTCATGTTGAATAGTATAGGCTATACAGCATTAGGCTATATATCTCAGCTAGCCTATATTTGTTAAGGAAGTCAGAAGAAAAAGCGCTGTTATGGTTCGGGATACGTAAATACAATGTTCTAGAAAAATATAGATCTTTACTCCGTCTAAAAAAAGTCCGCGATACCATATGTCTATTTCTTATATATAAGCCACAATTAGGCATTTTGTGACAAAAAAAAATGAAAATTTAATTATTAGGCACCTTACGAACCAAAGTTACTTCATTATCAAGACAATTTTATGAAAATAAACTTTGTTCTTTATACCATGTTTATATAGTACATAGTTTAAGAGATAATGTAAAATTAAAATAATTCAATACCTACTTGGCTTGACGCGCAAACAACGCATAACCCCTAGCCCGGTGCGAACTGAGAAGCCAGTATTGAAAGCTTCTATGAGCGAGGTTAGGTTAGCCGTTAGTTCAATCGTTATCTATATCTACACAAATAAATAAAATTGAAGTGTCTGTTTTTAATGTCAAAATAACAGCTTTTTACTAATTGCGTATGAAACTGTATACGGTACTTATAACATTAACACAATATTTAACATTTTTGTATGTCTGTCAGTCTGTTTGTTGCGGTTAATTTCCAAAACGGCTGGACCGACTTTGGCGGGACTTTCACTAGTAGATAGCTCATGTTATAAGAAGTAACTTAGCCTGCTTAAATTTTAGAAAAATTATTAGGTGTCTTTGCAACAATATAACGCCCTAAACTAAACGCGGACGAAGTCGCGGGGTACAGCTAGTAGCTAAAATAAATTCAAAATTAATTGAGTACTTTTATCTATCTCCCGGGTGACCGTAGCAATGATTAGTTACATCTTTATTTCTGAACTCTGTCATTTCACGTTGCTATGGTATTTTGAAAGTTTAAATTTAATTGATTAATAAGTATAAGAGGTTGATAGCAAATTTATCAAGAATCATTTCTTGCCTACACACTTTTCATGTATCGTGTACGTTTTTCTTTAAAACTGGAAAAAACCGCGCATAATATGCCGACAGATAAAATAAAAGTACTCCATTTATCATGACAATTTTTCCATACATTAAGTACAATCAAATAAAATATTTGATTGCAATTATAAAATGCTTGAACTAGGTGTCATGTCATGCCACGCATCTCGGACACGTGATGACGCGGGTGAAACCGCGAAATTATTAGGTATACCTCTGTGGCTCTATATACCTAATATAGATTGCTTATTTTATTATGTTTAGTTTTCCCCGAGTGGTCATGCAGCAATCACTCAAGAGTTCGGCTTCGAACGTGTGTAACTCGATAATTATCCCACGGCAACGAAATACCTGAATAAACGGTATCATATATGATATTAGGCAGCTCCGTGGCGCAGTGGCTTAGCAATGAATTGTTGTACTGGGAGCCGCGGGTTCGAATCAATCGAACAAGTATTTGTATGGTCTACAAATAATTGTTCCGGGTCTGGATGTTTGTAAACTGCCTCCACGATACAGGAGAAAATCCTAGTGTGGGGTAACGTTTTTTTTGAAAAAAAAAATTCCGGACTATAGCCTATCTCTGAGCAAAATATCATCCAGATCCCTTCAGCCGTTCTGGCGTGATTGAGTAACATACATCCATTCATCCGTCCATCCAAATATCCAAACTTTCGCATTTATAATATTTAGATAATAATCGTAATTGGTCTGCCTACCTATAAATTGTTTTCAAAAATACTTACTTACCTGGCTTCTTATTTTTTTATATATACTCAATATCACTAAACGTAAGCACAGGTTTTTATCAAGACAGGTGACCCATCAAGATTGTTTTCTTAGTACTGACGTACCTACCTAAAGTTTACAATTTTGTGGCCACGACGCGGCGAGGTTTTGTGATATTTTGTTGTATTGTAGATTGTAGGTATCTAGGTAATAACAGTAGGTACCTATGAAAATCCCACATAATATACTTTGTTTATCCGCCGCAAAAGTCGTCTAATAAATAATTAAACTGTTTTGTAATTCTTTATTTATTTATAACACTTGCATTGAGAGCCGTGGTAGCTCAGATGGTTAGCGCTCGCTGTAAGTATCACATTACGCGAGCAACCCGGGTTCGATCCCCGTCGGCACCAATGAAATTGTTGCAATTTTATATAGTAATCGAATATAGACTTTACTTTTTTTATTTTTATAATTATATTATATTACAGACGAAAATTTTAAAATATTGTCTGTCGTCCAAAACGCATCATCTCTTTCAATTATATCAATTTCCATGCCGTCTTTTGTCTTTGGCGTCCAAATTACAAAATAGCAAAACTTTTCGTTTCGAATAAAACTCGAATACAAGCACGCGTCACCGCCTGTGCATGTGTGTGTAAGCATCGTCCTCCCGCACCGCACCGGGGGAGACATTATTCAGTGAGATGCACGATAATTCATAGTAACATGCGCGCGTAAAAAAATACGAAAAGGCCTTTGGAAGAAGGGGTTTTATGAAAAAACCACTGCATTAATCAATTACAAATAAAATTTATTGAGTTCTTCGATAATTGACCTGTGTCGGTACCGACTTTGTTTTGGAAATTTTACACTTCTTTTATTACTAATTTACGCCCAAAGTTGTGTTAAAATTGGCAATAAAAACGAATCTTTGGTAGCTCGTAACTTTTTAATAACATTTTATTTTACTATTCTGTTTCCGTACAGACAAATTTAATAATGAGACAAAACGATATCATGTTTAATTTTGGATGTACACTGTCAAACAGCGGAGTAAAACCCCTCCGAAATTTCTATGGAAATAATGTCGACTAGTGTCACCTTAAGCAACACAAATTCAATGTGTACTCTTGTAATCTATATTAAATAAAAATGATTCTATTCTATCCTAGAACTAGACATTCAAATAGGAAGTCGATGGATGCAGGTTACTCAGAACTGTGTTTTGTGGTATTCCTTTTTTACTCACTTGGCTGAAACACTGGCATATAATACCTTTTTTACTATTATAATCCCGTGCTTGAGCCGAGTGATGGTAAGTGGTGATTCAGCCGAAGATGAAACACACACATTGTGATCGGCTGGACAGACAGGTGCTTGCAAATTATTCCATTCCTTTGCTGTACGCATTTCGAACGACTAAGCAAGTTTTAACAGTGGTAGAGCCAGGCGGCAGCTTTTGCTGTTGCATGGATGGGCCGGCTCGAACCGGGGTGGTACCACGACCTCACAGAATACCAGTGTGAAGTAGAGGTTTACCTCTGCGTTTCGCTTGGTGAGTGCAGGTGGCCGGAGGCCCTTTTAACTGGAAATGAGGCATTCCATCCTAGTCCTCACGGGTGAAAACATATCTGCATTTTGATCTGTAACAGAGGATAGATGTAGATGTCTATGGGCCGCAGCAACCACTTACCATCAGGTGGACTGTGTGCTTCTTTTTCACACTTACCCTAAAAAAAAAAGAGTCGTTTGGTCCAAATGCGAGGTGTGTCGACTATAAATGTTCTATATGATAGATAGGCCTCCCCCATGTTCAACAGTGGTATTAATAATTGTAAGCGTATACATATTTATTTTTTAATCAAATGTACAATTTGTTGAGTTTTATTTTAGTAGCTTATCATTTAAGAAACTGTGTGATATTTATTTTTTTACTTTTCAGTGTTAAGCCGGCAGTGTTCGATCTCATCCTAACTCTGGCCATAATAGCTTATCTGACCGTGGTATATTTCGCCATACAGCTGTTCCCGCGCTTTTATGAAGAATATGCTAAATTGGTTACGGGCAAGGCTAAAGTACATTAGTATTAAGTGAATATTTTTACTGTGTGCGAATTTGAACTTTAAGTTCTTAGTATTAAAATGTTAATTGAATTGTGTGAAGAATGGTATTGTCTAGAATGAAATGCTTCAATGTTGGTTGGTAAATACTTTGTTTATTTATAAGAAAGTTGTTGGTTGAATGTAGTGCCTCAGTGGTTAGAGTAATTGACTGCAAGATGGGGCTTGAGTTCAAATCTTTGCTAATTGTCCTTAAGCTCCTCAGACCCGAGACCACTTTGTGTTTGGTAATGAAATAAAATTTTAAACGCAGACTTATAGACCCCTAAATGATAAAAAAAAATATTAAAAAAATTATAAGTTATTAGTTTTTTTTTAATTGTACGTCTCCTATACAAGACTCTGGGTTTTAACATGTCAATTTTCTAATACTGTAATCAAAACGAAAAAATATGAATTAAAACGTTTATTTAAACAAAACCGTTACAGTTACTTAGACAGATTCATGATAGCGTTTGTAGCAATTTCGTCCTACTACAAGGCATAAATGCATGTTACAAGTAGAGCAAAACACTCTAGCTTTCTTGCTTTTACATCCTGGCATTCGGCATCTGTGATTGTCATTTTGTTCATCAATCAATGGCAAATGACCAGCCATGGCTGTCCTCAGTTGAACTGGAGGTTGAGGTATACATTTTCTTTTACGGCTCCAAGGTTGTGCTTCTTCTGTTGAGTCGTCTGAATCTACTTCATGAATTATGTGTATCTGTTCCCTCGCTGGTGTAGAATAAAGTAATGAATTTGCAATTTGCACTTTGAACTCCAAGTAGTCCAAAATGTTTTTTTTAGGGCATTCTAACAATTTAGCTTCATTCCTGTATACAAGCCATCCAGCAGCTGCCGCAAAGTCAAAGAAGTGGAAAATCAGACGAACAGTCCATTTTTTGGAACGTGCTCTAATTCTGTAAAAACTGATGACCCTGTCCAACATATCTACACCGCCCATCATGTTATTATATTGCTCTATTGCAAATGGTCTGTCAATTTGGATATACTGTTTAGTTTTTTTACACCAACGTCTGCATTTGTTGATGGGTTCTTTGGAATCAACAGATGATGCCATTATTACTGGTTTATTATCAAACCACTTTAGACATGCCACATTACCGTCACTGCGAACGAGTTGATCCGAAGAACTACGTCCTTGTTTTCTCAACTCATTGTCAGTTTTGAAATTGCAGTTTTTAGGTATGTTTGCCTTTCTAAGAGTACCTGTTGCCTGCATCTTCTTTGAACGTAATTTGTCCAGTAAATCCAATGATGTAAAGTATCTGTCCATGTATAACTTAACTCCTTCAGGCAAAGTTTCAGATAACTTCAGCACAACTTTTCCGCCAATATCAAGAACTTCAGCTTCATTGGTTGTGAGTATTGTATCTCCTTTGCCCTCATACATGAAGAAGTCTAAAGGCACACCATCTGGAGTAGTGCACACGAAGTTTTTTAAACTACAGGGGTTTGGTTTTCCTCTTATGAACTGCCGCATTGATACTTGACCCCAAAAGGGTATCATCTGCTCATCTACACTAATATGTTGAGATCTGGGAGTTTCTAGGTGAGCTTTTCTCACAGTTTTGATCAAAGGGTTATCTTTCCAGAATTTATTTTGCTTGGATGCTTCATCCACCTCAAGATCATTTACAAGTTTCAAATTTGTCCGAATTTTAAAATAACGGTCTCTAGTCATGCGGTCTGCTATCATTGCAACCCTTGTCCTGTTTGCCCAATACATTCTAATCCTTGGCAAGCCCAAATAACTCATAGCTATAGATATGCCAAAAAACAATTTAATTTCTTCCTTAGTTGTGTTCAGATTTTGACCTTTCTTCAATAAGTATGTCTGGTTTGAATAATTACTTATTATTTCAAACATTACTTCAGGAATATATCTCAAAAAATATTCAATTGGTTCTTGTAACAAATTAACGCGACTTGCAGCTAAAGGTTGACAGTACATGCCTGGTGGATATGGAGTGAAATCATTTTCATGCTTGAAATATAGTCGACGACTTGAAGTCTGACGAGCAGCAACAGCAGCCAATGGTACGTCATCATCGCTCGAGTCGTCGTTTGAACCTTCATCCTCCAGCTCTTCCAGGCGTGGTTCAAGATCTTGACTGCCTTCGAAGTCATCGTCAGAAAGGCCTTCAACGGTAGAATCATTGCCATCAAACTCTAAAATTCTTGCTATGTCGCTATCCGTCATATGGACTACAATACAAAACAAGTAAATGAATAAAACGATCGGATGAAAACAATTAAAATACCTATAAAAATATTAAGTCTGAAACCCCATGTCCCCTCTACGGGACAATCATGTACTTGACGCGATACTCGGTAAAATATTTGCGGAAATTTGAAAGCAATATCTTATTTTTATCTTACATACTTTAAAAATGAACAAATACATTGGTTTTTAAACTAAAATGCGTTAATTTCAACAAAATCAATTAAAAACTTACCTTGGGCAGCCATTTTTTGCAGAAATTTTCAACCACTAACTTCAAGCTGTCAAAAGTTTACAAAAATGAGCGCCAAACATGGTTATTTTTTTTTCAATAAGTGAAATCTACATTGAAATAAATGTACTAATAATTAGGAAGTTACACTTTGATAGGCGCTGGAGGGCAGTACTAGAAAAAAGGTCTCGTATAGGGGACGCCAGGTCCTAGGAGGTTAAACATTTTTTTTTAAATCAGTTTGTTTGCTTCCGTATTTTAGACACTACGCTATTTGCTACTGCAGATTAATTTGTTAAGTTTTTATCGGGTATGAGAAATGAAGTATTGATATGTTAATAGCTAGCAATATGGGTAACGGGTTCGATTATTGTAATAGGGTGCCTGATAAAGGGAGTCATAGTGTAACCAGCCTGTCAATATGATATTTAAAATTAAGTTAATATGATCAACTAAGAAAGCAGCATTGAGGATTATGCTACTTTTTTTACTTGATCCCAGCAGTGAGGCGTATAAAGGTCCACTGCTGAACGTAGGCCTCCCTCATAGATTGTCTCATAGGGGATATATACTATAGTTACCACGCTTGGCAGGCGGGATGGCAGCCGCAGTTTTTTATTTTTATTCAGATATCAGAAAATGCTGCTGCCCATCTCCAGTTTCAGTTTTCATCAGTCGCCTCTTACGACAGCCACGAGACGATATGGGCTAGTGGATATTCTTACACCAATTAGATTGACGTTCATTTATACATCTTTCTAGTAACAACTTTTTAACGTATCCATAAAGCATTGGCATTTGTTTGCGGGGCTGCAAGGACGCGGGATTGAGTTTGGAGTGAAACCATCTTTATTTATATAATTGTTGGTGTGTCTGTTAGTGATCGTGTAAGTTTAAAAAGACTTAAACGACAGGTCATATTAACGCAATATATTTGTTTGCTCGATACGATAGTTAATAGCTATGTAAGGTTCCAATATGTGCCGCTGTAGTCAAGTGATTCATAGTTCGGAACGAATTCGAAGTGACATTGATCGCGCCGCCTACCGAAAAAGGCAAAACAACTTTTGCCAAGCCAGTTGGTATTATATATTATACTAGCGATCCACCCCGACTTCGCACAGGTGACTTATGGATCTGGACAACAGCGCCACCTACCGGGTCCAATTTTTAATCTAAACCACTCCATCCAAAATCAAAATTTTCATCAAACTCGGTCTAGCCATTTAGGAGGAGTTCAGTCACATACACACGAACAGAAGAATTATTTATATAAAGATAAAATATCGCAGTATATAAATAACACAGCAGTCACAAGTTTTGTAATTTTACGTTTGGCGAAATATATAGTATGACGGCCTGTATAGCCCCTACCGGTGCAGAGCAAGGGGGAAGTATTATGTTCTGCCTTCGCGCGGGCATTTCCCCCCCCCCCCGCCCCTCTTTACCCGCATCGCCCGAGCAAAACAGGCTGGTACGTATAGTTGTATGATAGTAAGCTATATACACCTCACACTAGGCCGTAAATTTTTTTTTTATTACGTATGCTACCTTTTCAAAGACATAAAATATTTATCAACATAGTACAAATTCGCACACAGTACCACAGTTTAATATTATAAGCGTTGAACAATAATTATTTAATTTTGTTTATATAATGTTTTTGTTATTGTAGAGTGAGCCTCATAAATATTGTTAGCGAAGTCTCAGTGAATGCATAAAGCTGTCGTAAACATAGAGCGATAGTAGTGGAGACCAAAGACCATATTAAAATTACTACGTTTTAGTGTGGACAAGTTAGTACTGTACACTTTAGTGTGGACGAGTTACTACTCTACATTTCCCAGCGAATGTATTGCAAGCGAATGACAAATAGACGACAACACTTACTCAACGTACGAATCACGTGAACCCGCACACTTGTCCTTCACTAAGTCAAGGTTATACTCAATTAGTGCTTTCGATTTGTTAGCCAAGCTAGCTTTCTACAATCGTTGGAGCTAAGAAAGCTATAGTGGCTCCGTGGCGCAGTGGCTTAGCAATGAGTTGCTGCGCTGGGGACCGCGGGTTCGAATCCCGCACGGAACAAGTATTTATATAGCCTACAAATAATTGTTCCGGGTTGGGATGTTTGTCCTTGTGCAATTTGTGTTTGTAAACTGCCTCCACGATACAGGAGAAAATCCTAGAGTGGGTAACGTTTGTAGAAGGGGGTAACGTTTTTTAAAAAAAAAAATAAAAAAAGAATAAAAATTTATGTAAATTTAAGTAAAGACTTAGGCTGGTATTCAGAGACAATCTCGAGTTTAACGCGTCTCCACAATGTCAAAATTTTAGTCTACACCATACAGTTTCACAGATCGAACTCAGACATTAAGATGTGTCATTCCATTTATTTTTAGCCGACTTCAAGAAAAGGAGGAGGTTCTCAATTCAATTACTTTTTGTATTATAGTTTTCTATTGGCGTTTATGGTTGTAGAAAGTCAACTTGGCAAAGACTTCTGTACCTAAATATAACAAATAAAGTCTAGTATATCACAAAATAAAATAAAACGAAGTCGCTAAAGAGTTATACTCGTCTAGTCGCTTAAAACTATAAAACAATTTAAAGGATTTCTTGAATAGGTTTTTCGTGTATAGTTCAAGCATATTTCATATGAGTAGAGGAGAAATTCTGGCATTTGTGATAAACTCGCAAAAATTTTATTGTAGTTCGGGGAATATCCCATGCGAAGCCAGGTCGAGTCGCCTGTAAATTATAATAGGGTAGTTTTTATCATCCATCCCCAGAAAGCTAACGTTTCCGATGTCTAAATACTGCAGTAGCAGCTCACCCACCATCTGATCGACTGTAGGTTCGATTCTCACTATAATTTTATAAAAAACAAACTTAAACATCATTACCTGTCGTAACTTTATTTATGAGACTACCTGCACAATATATGCATTTATTTTTGTTGCTGCATCAAAGAAATACAAACTCCAATTACCGAGTCATAGATTACGCAAGTTTTTTTTTTTTTAATTTTGTTATTTATATTAAGACAAATGAATTATGAATTATATAAAGTAATAAATAATTTTAATAGTGTTTAAAATTTAAATTGTGAAAGGCTTTCCGAGTGTGTTGAGCAGTTGAATTCAAGTTATTTTAACCATTAAGACAAAAGCAATAAGGTAAATTATTATATGCATGATAAGTGTAGATGAATCTTTTCACCTGTATATATATATATGAGAAAGTGGTTTAAATCTGTTGTTGTTTTCGCCGTCCTCGCTCTAAGTTCCTTGAATAACAGAATATATCATGTAACATGTAGTGTCTACAATAGTTTGCATATAATTTCATGTTTGTGATAATATAAAACATTTAGACATTGCTCACAGTTCCAGGTTTGTTACATAAGTATTATTTAATTTTGTTTTCCTGGACTCTGGTCACTTACTGCGTGGCAACGGTTGAAAATGTTTATGTATTGTAAACGACAGTAATACTTCTCGTAAATGTGCGAACTGGCCAACTCGAAAATTTGTGGGTTCAAACCTACTACTGTCGTACGCCACTTTAAGGGGAATACAGGAGCTAAACATAAGTTTTGTAATACCTTAAAATATCCATTAGAGTAAACAAAATCAGAAATATATATGATATTGTTCAGGATATATGGTAGTTAGTTAGTATGTTTAAAACATGATACTAATAATGTTATACGATAGAAAAAAATTACAAAGATGCCTCTATAAATTACTTTTAACGATTAAAAACCATATTAACATACATGCAATCATTCTGATTTTTGTCAGATTATTCTGCAAGCAACATTTTAACGTAATAGTGTTTTAATTTTTTAGTCCAATCAATAGATATTTATTAAATCGCTTATTCTTTTATCGGAACATAATACGTACGCGTGTGTGCATAAACGCCTGTGTGCCGCCAGTGCCGGTCAAGGCCTGATGCTATACAAAATTGTGTAAATGTGTGCGTGCGTAATTTGAGGTCACTTAGCTCTTGTAGTCCCCTTAATACAAGGCTTTAGGAGTTGTAAAGGCATATTAGTAATGAAAATTGCGTTACTAGTATTCTTTGATTTTCCAAGCCCCTCTGTGGCTCATCAGCATTGCCTTCTATACATGTCCATGTGTGTAAAATTCTTCCACCACAAAAATAAATTCTCTATTCCAGTATTTATTTCTACGCAAGATCTCTTCGACTGGGTTTATTATTAAAGATAAATATTTCATGCAATGCAACGGCCGTTTCTTTTGTTTTGCGTCAATCTGTGAATATACATATTTAGGTAAAAATTACTTGCAATAATATGTAAATCAGTCTGCTACTAGTATTAAAGCATAGTACTAAAGCTACATGGCATTGTTCGCATTAGATGAAACGTGTAATGATTTTATTAAAAAATTGATTTAACTTTTATCTTTGATTTAAACACAAAAAGAAATTACAAAAGGAGTTTCACAATTTTTTAAAGAATATTTTTCTGCTTAGCTATTAAACGATTTCGCACGTTGTCGCTGTCTTTAGAGAATATCTAAACTGTCATTGCGAAAAAAGTTTGTAGAAAAAAACAGGTGTACATTGCATGGAAATAAAAATAAACTGTTGTTTTCACATTTTTATTGTTTTATTTTTACGTATTTTATCTTAAAAAGGTGTTTTCTTTGTATATAATTAGGATGACAAACGAGCACACAGTCCACCTGACGGTAAGTGGTTGCTGTGGCCCATAAACATCTACATCTATCTTCGTCTGCGAATTAAAATGCAGTAGCGTTGTCAGCCGTGAAGACTGCCGTGAGGACTGCCGTGAGAATGCCTCTTTGCAGTAAAATAGGTCTCCGGTTCTCTACACTCGCCATACGAAACACAGCAGCAGTCCTTCCCCGGTCGAGCCGACGCATTCGTGTTACAACTGTAACTTTAGCATGGATCTACCATGTAGATACATCTAATTGATCTCATTTGGAAGTTGAAAACTAGTCTGGTATATGAAAATCT